TTGCAGTCTGTATTTGTAAACATTTGTATATAATAATAGGCCTATTAATTACATAAGAAGACAATTTTTAGTTGTTTTTCAGACTATTTCTTAGGCTTTTTTTTTGGCATTACACTGCATAGGTGTAGGCTGCAATTATAACATGCATTTCGATGACCTCTATAGCCTATATTTCAACATATTTCTGTATCATGAGGTGGTTCCCTTGATGACTAGATGAATTGTTGATTTGGACAGCCCTGTGCACTCCCAGACTTCTCGGGAATGCTCCCCAAAAGTCTATGAGTCCACAAAGGTGGTGAAGTCCAGACATTCAGGATTCATTTTAACTTCCTGAGACCTGAAATTTTGTTTGGTATGCATTTTCAATTTCTCCTAGCTATTTGGGATTAGTAGGACCTGATAAGTGTAAAAAAATTCCCAATGTCCTTTAACGAGTTGAATGTTCGCAATGTTTTCAAACATCTTCAAAGGAGTTCTTTCTAATTAGCAGTGTCTTAGCTTGTTACTGTCGCTAAACTTGGACAAATTTGTATGGCATATCAAACTACAAACATTATTAATCGGATTGGCTGCAGACTGACTTGGCAGAGATGGCTGCCATCTTGTTTTTACTTATAACCACTAGACGGCACTAGTTTCTAAGTTTCTACGAATGAGGACAGCAAGCCTAGGTTAAGCAGAATGAAGAAGAAGGTCCAGTAAACCCAAATGTAATGTCGGCATATGAGGACACAGGGTCTTAGGAGGATATAAAGATGAATGGCATGAGCAAGCCCCAAAAGTGAAGCCAAAACAACTCAATCTCCCCCTAGTGGCTGGCTGCAGTATAGGTCATAATCCCGACCTCCTCAATGTAAGTGAATGGGGCATGGTCCAAACTAAAAAATCAAGGTGCGTGTCAAATAAAATATTTCCAAAGATGGTTTCTGTCATTTTAGGTAGTTCTTACTATACTGTTTGTTTTTCTCATGAGTTTGTTTCTAATTATTTATTTGATGCTATAAAAAGGTGGGTGTGACGTCATGGTTGACTGCTGTGATTGACCCAGGATACGCTGGATTAAATTTTTGTACAGTGGGAGGAAGTGGAGTCATCCATCTTTATATACAATCTATGATCACAGTCAACAATATAATTTGCTATCAAATAAGAGCCAGATGTTTAAAGGAACACATTGCTTTAGGCCCAAAATACAACAACACGCTGTGGGAGAAAGGACAGAACATTGAGCAGTAAATTTTATTTTATTAGATCGTTATGGATTCTTTTGGTTTGGAGAGAAGTTACAAACAGACATACGAGCTTCAAACTGACTTTTAAAGCAGCCTTAACAATATGCACATCAACATTAATTTTAGGCAGCTTGCAATACCTTTGATTTGCACTGATACATCTGCCACACAAATCACACTATAGAACAGATATGAAAGTGTTTTAGACGCCTCTGAATATCTTGACAGTCAGCACGACTGCCCCACTGCAAGTCAGTTACTGTTTAATATGACTGCTGGATCCTGTCTCTGATCCACATAAGTGCCTTGCATTGGTTACAGTCATGTTAAGGAGTTATTAAAGCTCATTTTATGTTTAATTTTGGGCTGTTATTGTACCTGTCTTTGGATATGAAGACCATGAGAGATATTGGAAAATATTGCCTTTTGGTAAATCCCTTATGTGAAAAAACTAACTTATTAACTGTCACTCAACTCATTTTTTTTTTTTTTTTACTCCACATGAAATCTCGTCTGTGGAACAGGGTGATTTTAAAAGAACCCCAGGCAGTGTGTGATGAAACTGCACAAGTCTTTCAAGAAATAACTTTGTAAGTCACTCTAAAATGTCAGATTAGATATGCAACTATAAAATCCATCTCCATTTGCTCAGGAAGCTGGTAAATTGCAGGAACGTCTAAAGCCTTTAGAGGGAGCCATTTGTCATTCTGTTACAGGAATGCAGTGACCAAATGAGGACATTAATCACTGGGACATAGATTAAGAGTAAATACAAGGCACTGTAGTATCCATACATGTGTGCACTCATCTTGTATCAAGCAAAAGGATGTCATTGACCACTTGCAGACATCTGCACTGGTATATTTTTATTATGATTTTTTGTATTATATGTTGTATTTGTTGCATTTTAAATGTGTTTTGATTGGCTGCTACCTCAGCCAGGTCTCTCTTGTAAAAGAGATTTTCAATCTCAGTGGAACTTCCTGGCTAAATAAAAGTTAAATGAATAAATAAAATAGATAAAAAAAATGTTTAATACTGAACTAGAAATGTTTGTTGTATTAAATTTAAAACTGATAAAACATGACGTGCCCCATGGCTCCTTGAATATATCGGTGGAATAAGTTGATGATGCGGAGAAAAAAAGTTTGAGAGTACTGTGCTGTTGGGTTGTTTAGAAGGAATGTCATCTGCATTCCTCTGAGCATCATGGAGGAGACACTGCCTGCAGGACAAAGAGCTTGGAGGAAACTGAAAACGTATCTCTCTCAAATGAAAGGAAATACACTTTGTTAAATGCAAGAGGAAGTGTATTTTAATTAAAATCCTTTTCTGGAAATGTTTGATTTGGAGACTGAGACAGTGCTGAAAGGAGGGCTCCTTCAATCAAAGTTTAGAAAGACAGACGTGACTCACCAAAATCTGTATACTCTTAAGCATTATACTTTCAGTACCTTAGAGAAGCACTGGAAACAATTTAGACAAACCTGGGACACTAAACCACTCACTTGAAACCCAAGCTTAAAAGTACCAAAATCTTTCTGCAGGCTGATGCAGCTGTTGGTCTTCTCACAAAATGATATGATAATATGATAATAGGATGCAGGCAGCACCTGCCCCAGCTGCTGTGCCAGAGGCTTCCCATGTGCTTTTGATATTTATGAAAACTAATGTAATAGCATAAGAGATAACTAATGTTGAATTTTGATTCATTTGTCTTTCCTTTTCAATTCCTGATCTGTATCACTTTCTTAGGTACACCTGTTTCACTGCTCATTAATGCAAGTAGCTTATCAGCCAATCACGTGGCAGCAACTCAGTGCATTTAGGCATGTGGACATGGTCAAGACGACCTGCTGAAGTTCAAACTGAGCATCAGAATGGGGAAGAAAGGTGATTTAAGTGACTTTGAATGTGCCATGGTTGTTGGTGCCAGACAGGCTGGTCTGAGTATTTCAGTAACTGCTGATCTACTGTCACACACAACCATCTCTAGGGTTTACAGAGGATGGTCTGAAAAAGAGAGAGTGGCAGTCCTCTGGGTGAAAATGCCTTGTTGATGCCAGAGGTCAGAGGAGAATGGCCAGACAGATGCCCTTGTTCACTTGTACCTCAGCAAATGACTAATAAAAGTCTGGGATCTTGAATCATAATCCATCTGTGTTCAATTATCTAAAACATTGAGCTATTAGTATAGGGGAGACCGGGGTTGGTTGTCACCGTGCTTATTTCAACCACACTAAAGTGTGGTGTGATGTGACATTACTATATGTAGATATCAAATAGTTGGCCTGTCATCCTGCTCATTTTTTGCACTGGTCATAGATGAGGAGATATTTTGTAATTCTTATGGGTTAGAGTATTTTTTCCTTTTGGTGTTGTTTTTGTATTAAAAGCTTGTAGGGTTAGAAGTCATTTCAAAATCAAACACCTGTTAAAAATCAAAGGTAATAGCTTTGATTTGAGTCAACTTTTAGCTGACATGTTTGTCAAGAGGTCAGCTGGGGTTGGTTGTCACATGTGTGACAGTTCAGGAAGACAGCATGGGGAACATAATATAGTCCATATGTTCTCTGGTGGTTTTGATTACACGCACGCACACAATGTTGCTTTAGTTCCTCTTTAGAAATCAATGTTGTATCCAAACAGACATAGTACTTCAACCTGGGCATTTTAACAAATGTTCCTGGTCATATTGTGATGGAGATTAAAATATTTCAGTCACACTGTTTCATTTAATGTTATATTAATAATGAATTGTGATGAAACAATGGCTTCAATAAAGACTAGATTTTTTTTTTCATAACTGTAAATTTGTTCATTTTAATTCTCGTTACAGAGGACAAATCAAACAAACAATAACCTGGTTCAAATTCATGGTAACACAAGGAGCATTAATGTGAATGCTACCATTATAGAGGTGGTATTCATTTCAAAATTTATGTCTTTAACCCTTTACAACCTGAGCAAATTGGCCTGATTCCTTTCAAGAAAACACAACAAAGGCAATGAGCAGCTTTACAAGAAATGACCCAAAAAATAGCAAAAAAAATAATTCCTGACAAATAGTTAAAAAAAAGGTGAAAAAAACAAACACAAAAACAAGGAAATGACCTGGAAAAAAAGTTTTTGGTCATTTTCTAATAATTTCCCCTCTCTCTTTCTTTTCTTTTTCAGGGTATTTTTTCCTGTCATGTTTTACTATTTTTAGCCAAGTTCCTCATTGCCTTTTGCACATTTTCGGAAGAAACCAAACCAATTCGCTCAGGTCTCAAAGATTTAAATGCTTGTGAAAGGCGTTTGAATGCAGTGCAAGAAAACTGATGTCTCTGTAGGTGTAAAGGGGTAAAAAACTACAAAGTTAGACTTTTAAAAGTCATTTCCCCCCCTGAAACCCCATTGATAACTATAGGGACATATATTGTGACAACCAACCCCGGTCTCCCCTACTAATGTAAGCTGAAACGTGTATACTGTTTCTGCATCGTCATTGTTGAACATTACTGGTTTCAAGTATTACCGAAGACCCTTTGCAGACTAAAGAGCTCTTAAAGTACATGAGGATGTCTCCACCCAACATCGCCTCCAAAATGGTTTGTGTTCTGTCAGACATGCTGCTTCCTGTTTATCATGTTGCATTCACAACCTCATTCCAGCGCACCAGGAGGCAGACGCATTCAAAGCCACTCTGAGAGAAACATCCAAACAGTTTTGTAAAGTTTCAGTCTCCCTTTCAGCATGACTGAACCCTGTGTGGATGTGATGTGTAACATTACCCAACCTGCAGGTGATAGTGTCCTGTTTACCTCCTCTGAAGGGGTTTCTGTTAACAACTTGCGCGCGGACACTGAGCGCACTGACCCGTCCCTCAACCCCTCCCAATCCATTTATCAGCGGTGTTGCGTCCGTCACCGTGATGTAAATCAGTCTCTGGACTTGTTCCCTTTTTAACTGCACGTTGTCTGAGGTCTAGAGCCAGGCTGCGAGCACGTGGACTGTATTTATGTGGGTGCGTTTTACTCCAAAGGCGAATGGCGTCGGGTAATGTGGCGTTAAGTGGTGGTCTACAAGTGTGAGGGGAGGGGAGACCTCTCGTCCGCGTCTCTGTAATGGGGGATCCCCCTAAGGAGCGGAGCATCGTCTGTCTTGTGAGTAGCTGCTGTTGTTGCAGTGTGAATTTGTTTGCTTGTTGGAGGGTTTCCAGTGTCTCTAATTGTTTACAGAAGTGTGAGAATTAGTTTCAGCCACACAGACACATGAGGACATTATTGAGCTTATTGAAACGCCCTAAAAGGCGTGTAAGAATCACATGTTTAACTTCTAAGTGTTATGCTATGAATGAATATCTGTATTTAATTCAGTGAGTCATGTCTCCCTGTTCAGCTCATCTGGTTTGCACTTTGCCAGAGCCTTCCTGTGTCCCTGCACACTAACATGCATCTTAATGTATTCCCACCTCATGTATAGGATGTGTTATCCCCACTTGCTCTTATTAACCTTGAAAGCAAAAGAAAAAATAGTAGAATACCCTGTTGTACAGTCTGGCGTGTGCTCAGTACATTAGAGCACATTTATTTATTTGGGCTACTTATTTTAAGAATCACAGGAAGTGAGTAATTGCATGACTTTTTGTGTTGTGTTGGTCACGTCCAAGCTTTCAAGGACAGCCCAATTTTATTTTGGTTTTGTCAACACTGTTACACAAATTTGTGAATAGCAACATCTGCAATCAAATGCAGTTTTCGTTAAGAAAAGAAAAAACAGAATTAAGTGTAAAACTCAAAGTGTCAAGGGGCCATGTGGAAAACTTTTCCCACTATCCCCCATTGAATGGCTTCCTGAGTACTGAGGGATATACATCACCTCACTGAACCTTGTTCAAGTGCGGTCGATTAGTGTAATCTGAGTTTTCAATCTGGCTTTATTGTATGAACCACCTTGCAAGTTTCCTCTCATTGTGTTCCAGGGAGCGCTCACAAAAGCGCTGTGTTTCAGCAAGGCCTTGAATCAAAGTTAGAGCACTGCACAACCAAGAAAAAGTGCACCTTTGTGTGTGTTTACAGGCACGGGAGAGGGTTTAGATCAATTATAATGTGATGCATTTCAGTAAGTGTGCATACTGTATTGCTGGCTTTGTTGTAACAGTGTAGACAGATGAGTACAAACCAAAAAGGAGCATTAAAGGAACAAACATGAGGCGTCTTTCTGTTAAGTCAGATGGATTATGATGTTGTAGAGAGGCAGCCGGGACAAATCATGTATTTTCATTTTAATGTTACAAAGAACTGGCAGACAGTGACTGTTGTAATCGTGAGCTCAGTGCGATAAGAAAGTGACTTCATCCAGCTGTGACAATGACTGTTTCTGTAATCACTGGGCACAACTGTTTTGGCTTGACTTTTTTTTATATATAAAAAAAACATCCACCAGTCAAAGTTCTTCATTATTCATTATTTCTAATTATTGTAAGAAGAAGAAGAAGAAGAAATGGATGAGTGAGTCCCAATTCTGTATCTTAATGATGGCACCCAAAAGTCATGTCTAGACATGATACAATCACACTATTATAAGATAGCTAATGGGGTATTGCATCAAAATGCTGTACTCAACACTTTCAACACTTTCCACAGAAAAAAGTACGCTCACTTTCATTTGAGAACGTCACTTCACTGACAGTGAGAAACTGTGGGAACTCAGCTCACCCATCATCAGATAGGGGGGAAATTTTCCACTCCCATATAGTCACACGAGAGGAATGTCTGGACAAAATGGGTACATGAATGCAATCATGACTGTATTTTGCTGTTGCACTTGTTTCTGAATAATTTCACAGGATTGCGACACAGAGTGTGGCGTACAGTAAACGCTGGTAGTGGCACTGTACTGAATAATCTTGGCTGTAGATGGTGCTTACTGAGGCTTTTGTCCTGATCATGCGTCGCCATGCTTAAATGATGTAACTGAGGCAAAACATGAGAAATAGAGAGAAGGATAACAGAATGTGCCTACTGCTGTGACAGATTTATGCTGCGTGTGCCCTTGGATACAGTTCCCCATCTGACAGACATGTCAGTGTTTCAGTTTATTTAAAGCTGTAATAAGAAGCTGCAGGAATAGAAATAATTTACACATATAAAACGACTCAGGCTCTAAATTAGTAGGGAGTTATTATGTACATCTTTAGTATAGAGTGAGTAGTTTTTGCTTATTGTCTCATGATTAACACACTATTATAAATATATGATGCACAATAAAAGTTCAAAGTAATGTAAGAATGTTTCTGCATTTATAAAGAGTTGTTATTTGTCCAATAAAGGAAAACAGAGGGTATAGTTTTTATTTCCAGTTGTCATCAAAAATGTTCTCATGTTAATCTGAGCTGCTTTCATGGAATTAGTGTCAACACTATGGGTGGGGGAAAAATCGATATAGCCATGTATCGTGATATTTTTATGTAGCAGTATCATATCGTCACACAGTGCTAAATATTGATTATTTAATTAAATATATATATACTTTTTGTAGCCTACTAGACTAATATAATCAATTGCTTTTTAGTTCACTGGATATATTTTGCTGCTACAAAAAAATGGCTGAATTGAGATGAACAGATTTGAAAGCAGATGTTGACAAAGTTTTCATTTGGGGTCAAAAAAAAAGAAAAGAAGGTAATAAAAAAATAATATAATAATAAAAATAATAATAAAAAGGTAATAAATCACAATATATCGCAATATATTGTATCGCGATAACTCAGCATATCGCAATAATATTGTATTGTGACTGAAGTATCGTGATAATATCGTATCATGGATTCTCTGCTGATCCCCCACCTCTTGTCAGCACTGTCAGGAATGTGAAGTTGACATAATGGTGAGATACGTTTTGTGTTTTTTGACAGGGGCGCCATCTTGTTAGGATCATGCTGTGTTACCTTTGCCTGCTAAGGTGGTCAAACAGCTGTATTTGGACAAACTAATCATGATAAACACCATATGACCTGGCAACCCAAGGCTGAATTACAGACCCTGATGCACTACCTCCACTCACATACCTGGACATTGTATACTGTCTTGTTTTAGGACAGACATTTTGGTAATAGAGATAACAGAGCACGTACCTCACAAGATGGCACTCCCATATATGTTTTTTCACGTTCTCCATAAACCATCCCAACATTTCTTAAAGCAGAAGAATTTTAACAAAACGATGTATGAGTTTTTCCAGTGTTCTGATTGAAACAGGCTGTTTGCGGGTTTTGAGCTTATCATATAAAACTGACCTTCCCTGGAGCAGGTTAGCCATACAGCATGGGTTACCATGGTGATGTACCCCATGAGCCAGCTTTGTGATACAGGAAAACCCAAGTTAAACCCAAAGATAGCTGGCTTACTCGCTAATCTAGCTTTGTGGTGCAGGCCCCAGGTCTTCAGCTAAGAGGATATTGGCAGTTGAATTGTAAAAGCCACTTGTCAGTTAAAAATGTTTACTAGTTACAGCCCCTAAATTGTGAGGATTTCCTGCTTTCTTTTGTCTTACAGTGCGTGAGAATAAATTTGGTATGTGAAAGGATCCAGTGTGTAGGATTTAGTGGCGTCTCACAATGAGGTTGCAAAACTGAAACCTCTCCTGTGTGCTAAGCCTGTAAGAGAACTGTGGTGGCCGACGTGCAAAGTCAGTGTCTCTTTGTAGAGTAAGAGTTTGGTTTGTCCGTTCTGGGCTACTGTAGAACAACATGGCGTCAAGGGGTAAGGACCCAATTTGTATGTAGATATAAATGGCTCATTGTAAATTACAAAAACACAACAATTCTTATTTTCAGGTGGTCATAAACTAATGAAAGCATATTTATGGATATTATATACAATTTCTGCCAGTAGATGCTCCTAAATTCTACCCGCCGGACCTTTAAACCGGTGTTTGATTGTTGGTTAGACAAAAGAAGCAGTTTGGAATATGCCATCTTGGGCTTAAGAAAATTAGGTATTTTGAGACACTTTGCTGCCAAATGATTGATCTGTTAAACAAAAAAGTAATTGCCAGATTAATTGATAAAAAGCCTAATTGTTAAATTAAGACCTACAGTTGAATACAATTTAACTGGACTGAAAAGTAGCCATACTGTATATTATATATTCACAAAAATAGACAAAAAATCTGCTGTAGAGTTACATTATGTATATATTGCTGTAAATTTGTGCAAACAACTTTTAATGAGCTTATTGTCTTGTCTGTAATGCATCGTGTCTGCCTCCAAATCATATTTTTGTGCAGTAATGGTTATTCTCTTGCTCACAGTCCTAATAGTAGACAGTTGTTCCCAATCTACTGCTGATTATTTCCCACTTGGTTCCCCAATACAAATGGGGTACAGGTGCCTGACCACTGCTTTTGTACAGTAAACATTTTGCCAAATATTTTGTCATATTTATACTGTACTTTGTCATACTGTATGTGTACCAGAAAATAGTATACCACTGTAGCACAGTCCTAATTCTCATTTAATGGGAGTGAGCCACTTTAGTGTAAGCCTTATCCTGATAATGAGTTACTAAGCCTCTTTAGAACATGGCTCATATGATTGGCTTGACCGTACTGGATCAAAGCACTGTAATCTCCAGCATGGAGATGCTCAAAGGTTGAGGATTTCAGATCAGATTATTTGCCCCATCATTACTACAGTACTAAATCTTCAGAATGGCTCATCTGTAGCAATGTTTGCCAATAAAGTGTTTGTGAAGAAATGTCTGGATTTAGAATGATGGTAAATTATTCATAAATCAGTGGAGTGTGCACCCAAATAATATGCATAGTCATGTGCTTTGAGTGCAGCGGGGACAGAATTAAGATGAGATATTTTACATTATGGTAAAGTGTGCTTGCATTATTTATAAGCATATATTCGCTACTAAAATAGGATAATCTGCATAATCAGTGTTCTTGCTGCTTTCCCTGGTGATACAACCAGCACAACTGTGGGACACAGAAGTCCTTCAGGCTGTATTACAAATCTTAACAAGTCACAATTATCGCTTCTACAATCAGAAAAACGCATTTTTGTTGGTTTACATACAGATGAGCAGAAGCAACGGCATCTGCCTGTTCATATGAACAGAGGGTGTGTGGAGGGTTGGTCATGAATTTAGAAGGTGACAGCAATGATAAATGTATCTGATGTGTGTGTGTGTGTGTGTGTGTGTGTGTGTCCTCAGGGTGACTTCACCTGGAACAGCGTGTCAGGACGTAGTGTTGGCCTGAAGCCCGTCCCTCTGCAAAGCCTCTCAGAGCTGGAGAGGGTTCATCTCCAAGAAGTGGCCTTCAGGAGATTGCTTCGGGATCGCGACCTGGGCTGCCACATCACCATCCCTAAATGTATTAAAACACACACCCACCCACACTAATCGTCCTCTTCCTTATTTTCACCAATTGGCTTATCAGTCCAAAACATAAGCATGGTCGTCTGAAACACATGCACACCGGCAAAATGGAGGACAGTGTTTTTCATTCCATCTATTTTGCATGCAAACAAATATTTTCCTTTTTGTCTAATGATTGTGAAATGCTCATTATTGATTGCCATAAACTCTTGCAGTTTGATTAATTTTATTGTCTATCTTAAAGCTGCAGTTGGTAACTTTTTTATAATGAGTAACTTTTTTGTGCTGAAACTGTCACTATTCACACAGCACTACATACGATGGATAATCTGTGTAAAAAAAAATCATATTCCTCTGCCTCCTCGTAGTGCATCTAATTGCGTTTGCAAGAATCCACCGCACATTAATGAAAACAACTTATCAGAGCCGAGGAGTCTCTAAAGTGGGATTTATACCTCTGCGTCGAATCGATACCGTACCTACAGCGTGGGCTCTAGCCTGATGTGCACTTCCCTAGAAATGTAACTGGCAGCAACACAGACCTTCTGTCTGTTTTTGTAAGCTGAAACCATTTCCTTCAGTGGAAACAAAGCTTTTATTTACTTTAATTTCACAGATAAGAAACAATAAACTGTGAAGACAATAAAGCCTCCACAAAATAGCATTTTAAGTCTTGTGTGTGATTTATCCTGGCTTCATATGAGCTGAGGAAATCTCTGCTCGTTGCTAGGCTAATTTATACAATGTAAAATGCCATAGGCTTGTGCTAATAATGTTAGCATGTTATATTTGTTTGGAAAACGTGTTTAGTATAAGACAGTTGTTTTGTCGGTGAACACTGTGAGCTGTTACGGAGCCGAATCTTGTAACGTTGCCTTACTTTAATGTTGCTGTTGTCCTTGGCTTCATATAAGTAGAGGAAAAGTCAGCTAGCTGTTAGGCTAATTTATAATATGTAAAATACCATAGGCTTGTGCTAAAAACATTAGCATGTTGTATTTGTGGGGAAAAGACAAATGCTTTTGCTGTGAATGCTGTGAGTTATAGTGAAGCCAGTTTGTGTGCTTGTGTTTGAAATAGTCTCTATTAAGTCGTGTTTAAAGTGTGTTTTGAATCAACTAAACTTTAAAGCACTTCACAGAAACCCCGCCACCGACTAGTGTTTTTGAGGTGTAACTGCAGAGTGACACAGACACACCACCGCACAAGTATAGATCCTCACAATGGCGTAGGCTCTGCATAGAGCTGACACACAAGTTCAGTCATGTCAGATCTGCCTAATTAGACAGTTTAACTGCAGTTTACAAGCAGTGATTGACATGGTTGAAAGCTGTGTTAGAGAAAGTTAACAACTGTAGCTTTAGACATACTGTAACAGGCTGTGTAATCGCAGACCACTGTTTTTCTAACTGGGTTATTTTAGTAGATAGTCTCTTACTTTGGTTTTGCAGTTTTTTCTAACCTTGTAGTCTACTCCTATTGGATACTTTGTTCACATCTAACACAAGTGGCACTCTCAAAGGAAATGAATGCTTGAAATATATGATGTCTATGACAGTGAAAGAGCAGTTGTACACCTGTGTAGTGGTTATGAATCAAGATCAAATTCTATACTGTGTCCTCACCAGTGTCTGAAATTTGCAAGGGCCACGGGCCATTTGACCTGCAATTTATCCAAGAATGCCCCCAAAAGCCATGTTCCGGGGGCCAAAATTGCCCCCAAGTTTTCGAAACAACTATATGTATTTATATTTTTAACAGTATTACAATCTGACATTAAAGTATAATTTTATTTTCATTCAATTAATTTACCGTCACGTCTACAACTCATTTTCCAGACATAATCAATGAGATTGCACTGATTACGTGAGAGTAATCTGACAGAGAAGGGGAGGGGGCTTTGCTGTACCATAAGTATAGATTAACCATTTCTTGGGTGATCTGTGTCTACACAATGACAAATTAATGAAAAATTAAGGTAGAATGAATGTTAAATTTTAAATTAACTTAATTCCAGGATTGCATCTAAGGAATTTATAGTAATTTGGCCTTTTTAACAGTAAAAGTAACTGTAATGTGCTGAAACATTAGTACTGCTATCAGTAGATTAATGGTTAAATCATCACATTTAAACTGGTTGAATTATAGGAAATCTGAGTGATATTTTGCAACCATAACTTTATTTTTAATTTTAATTTTTATTTAATTTTATATACTTTATTAATCCCCGAGGGGAAATTCAATTTATGTAACCCATTATTTATTTCATTTATAGTGGTTTCTACTGAAGAGTGAAGACACTATCTTAGTTGGTTTTGCTTTTCATGTGCTTATTGTTAGAACATAATTACAATTTTTTGATGGCCCCCAAACATTTTGAAAATGCCCCCATTTTTTAGACCGTGGGGGCCAAAATTGCCCCCAAAATATTTTGTTAATTTCATACCCTGGTCCTCACAGTTTATGAGCAGTTTGTGTTCGTTTATTGGCTCTTTTACTGTGTTACCATTTAGAAAATGAGCCTAAGAATATAAAGAGAAGTGAGCAAAAGCAGGAGCATATTAACCCTGGTTCCTTATTTAACTTTAACACCTCTGCCTCTTTTCAGATGGCCATAAGTACAAGAAGTCACTTCGGCGGAAGTTGGATTCATTATCTAAAGAGAAGAGTAAAGACAAAGGTAATGAGGATGTAGTGATAGTCTGTACTTTGGAGGGAGTGTTAGTGCTCTCCCTTGCAAATTGCCTTTAGATAAGAATTTCTAACTCCCTCAGTTATATTATTGTGACTCTTTCCAAACCAGTGAAGATAAACAGTTCTTTTTTAGTTCTGTGGGAGAGCCGCTGTCATTTCATTCCCTTCCAGTTTCTAATCTAGTCCGCCTCTGACACTTGAAAAGATACTCTTTGATCCTTTTGGCTGAAGCTGTATAGACTCACTGAAGCAGGCATTCTCAGCTGTTTATACCCGTGAAGCGCCGAGTGATCAGAATCTACAGTACAGTAAAGAAGTCTCAGAGGGAGCTGTGATCTTCAACCGCTGCGCCACCCCGCCTGCTGCAACAATCTGGCACCAAAGCAATGTTCTCTGTCAGTCCGGCAGTCGAAGGAAATAACAAAAACAATCTTAAGTGGTGGCTCATTCATTACAGCCTATCCTCCGGCATGGCCAGCCCCTTCTTTCCTCTTTTCCCCTTTTGTTTACAAAGGCACTTCAGAAAGTATGTGCACTCCAACTCCAATATTGAGTGCGCACTGCCGAACACTGTTCTAGGCATTTTGCTTGTCACATTTATTTCCAGCAGCCTTTATTTAAAAGATAAAATCTGAATATAAAGAATGAGTTTAAAAGCAGTTTCAGGCGCTTGCTGCAGAAAATAGAAGCTCCAAAGGTTAACATGTATGATATGTTGAAATGACTGACACATCTTAAATCGAATTCAACATCTCTTAGTTGATTTGGAGCCAGCAGCATGGACTTTAAGTCTCCCTGTCTTGCCCTTCCCCCCGCACACAGAGACGATGCCCCAGGTGTTTGGCATACCGCTGTCGCAGGTCATTTCCAACGACCGCACACACAAGCAGCGGCACGATCCCCCGCGGGAGGAGCACAGTGACCCCACTGAATTGATGCTATCCTTCCTCCACTTCAACTCCAGCTTCAAAAGGGGCAACAAGGAGCTCTCCAGCAGCAACTCGTCCCTCAGCTCCACTTCTGAGACGCCTAATGAATCACCTCTGCACAGCACGCCAGAGGCAGCCCCACGGACACGCAGGAGGGTAGGCTTGTCTGTCGATAAAGCTTACACGCTGTCATAGAGCGGAAGGAAATTTGTCTGATTGCACTTGCACACTACATTTCTCTGGGAATTTGTAACCTTTTTGGATATTCACTCAGTAGGTAGCCATTAAATAACAGCACTGTACGGTTGTCACCCGTCTGCTTGACAGGGCGGAGTATCTGTGGATTGCATCACTGATCTTGATGATAACCAGTCCCGGCTCTTGGAGGCCCTTCAGCTCTCTCTGCCAGAGGAGGCAGCTGGCAAGAGGAAGAAGTGCCACGACAAGAAGCTCAGCCTTAACCCTATCTACAGGCAGGTGCCCAGGGTAGTGGATCTCTGCTGCCAGCACCTGGAAAAATACGGTACACATAATCAAAATTGAAAGTAAAGTAACATAGTGTGTGGCATGTAGTATGTGGTATGTCTAGCTCATCCCTGTGGTGAGTTGTGAGTCAGTAACAAATCTGGTTAATAATTACCCAGTGAATCATACAATTTGAATGTCTTCAAGGCTGAATATTAGTCACAATAATCATCTTTATCTTTGCCTACAGGTCTGCAGACGGTTGGAATTTTCCGTATTGGGAGCTCCAAGAAGCGAGTTCGACAGGTACAAGTTCAGCTGGTTCAATTTAACACACCTTTACACCTTAATACAGGGTTCCCACACAGTATGGTAAAGTATTGACCTTGATTTAAGTAATTTCCAGGTCAAGAGAGCATGGAAAAATATTTGCGTTTATAGACTTTTTCTGTTTTCTAAAATATAAAATTCAGAATGTCTTAAAATAAATTGATCATACAAGCAGTGTTTTTCACTGCGTTTGGAGCAGCCAGCGCAGCTACAATGTTCACCTCTGGGTGAAGGAGTGTGGGTCAAAGTTAGCTTGATGTCGTCGAAAGCAAGGCAAGAAGTATGGTGTGTGAGTGAACGCACACTTTTATGCAGATGCCTTTTAATGGCACCAAATTAGTTTGAAAGAAAATGCAGCAATAACCGCATATTAAGGTTTTGTGAACATTTCTGAGTTATGCAGTGATGTAATTATCAGAAAAGTTAACAGGCTATCGTTTATGGGTGAGGCAGGGGTCGGGCCCAGATTAGATCATGTGAAAATACCTGGGGGCCAGCTGCTTCTCGCATCATATGGGTTATTTTTTTATATATATAATCTAAGTTTTTATTGGTTTAAAAAGGCTCAGTACATGGCATACAGATATTATTTTCTGGGCATACAAGAATACAAGGCACATATTTTTTGCAATATGGAAGTGGACTCCTGTACATAAAGAAAAATTAACAAATAAGTCCAGAAGGAAAGAGAAGGGAGGTTAGTTTTTAAAACATCAAATACAACTGTTTCGCCTTTAAGTGAAAACGTAATTGACTTTCCCTTACTCCTGAAAGCGGCGACCCTTGATGTAGACTTAACGCCTCTTTGTTGTGTCCTTGTCTGCACCCCAGCAGGAAATATTTGGTATGAAGTCATTGTTCATTTGCTTGTTTGTAGTCTGTTTATGAAAGCACATTAGTTCCGCCTGCGTAGCTCCTACTTGGTGCATGTCTACAAACAGTTTGATCGTCCTGCCATCATGAGGTGAATTAAAATATTTCAAAGTGATCTTGCTTGATTAACCAATATTGTGTTAATCATATTGTATAACTTGTAAGACAAAACAGAGGGCTGTTTAAAAAGTGGTCTATGGGCTGGACTTTGGGGGTGACTGCCGTGAGGAAATCATACCTTTGGCTACATTCATCACAGTTACCATGGAGACAGTGAGACAGGGAATAAACAAGGCTGCACAGATGCTGTGAAAATGTGGGGGGAACGAGTATAGGCTGGTTAGTTGACATCCTCTTTGAGCAGAGGTGAACTCAAATACGCTCTATGCCTGAGAAGTCTGGCAATTTGAGTCTGGAAATGTATGAGTTTAAAATGTGGAATGTGCAGGAAGCCTGGGAGTAAACTGTATCATGAGCAACATTTTTGCTGTAATTAATATCCCAGTTTTTCATCCAGCTTCGCAGGGAGTTTGACCAGGGATGGGAGGTGCATTTAAACGAGGAGCACAGTATTCACGACGTAGCTGCACTGCTAAAAGAGTTCCTCAGAGGCATGCCTGACCCACTGCTAACAAAAGAACTCTACACCGCCTTCATCAACACAACATGTGAGGAGCACACACAAATATACACATGCAAAGCATAAAATAACATGTCACTAGCTTGTGGTGAGAATGGTTGGTCATATTTGGGCTTTTTTTTCCTGCAGTGCTGGATTATTCAGACCAAGAGAGCGCCATCCAGCTCCTGATATTTCTGCTTCCTCCATGTAACAGCGACACGCTGCAGCGCCTTCTCTGCTTATTGTCCACAGTGGCTGCACATGCTGAAGACAGCCTGGACAATGACGGACAGGAGGTGAAGAAACTGTACATAGGCTGTTTTGGGGCCTGACTAGATGAGATTTACACACACATGAGGTAGCAGAAGACAAGAATAGCTGCAATGATTGGTTGATTATTCTGTTAGTGGATAGACAGATATTTATTGGCATCCATTTTGATAATTGAACAATAATTTTAGTCATTTTTTAAAGAAAAGTCAAACATTGGCTAGTTTCATGCTTCTTAAATGTGAGAATTTGATGTTATTCTTTGTCATACATGATAATAAACAGAATAGCTTTGGACTTTTGGACTGTTAGTCTGATAAAACATGCCAGACAGTTGCCAGACGTCTGTGGACCAGCTCTGTTGTCAGCACGTCACACATTTTGACACTTGTTGACTCCACCCGCAAGTGCAAAAAAAGTGTTTGTAAAATGGGCAGCCGTCACCAAAAACGAGTAAATAAACTGTTCACAAGTCTAATGTGATTGTGATGAATCCCAGCTGCCATCTGAAGGCAGTCAGACAGATGTTTGTTACACCTGCAGCCTCTAATTTGAAGAAAGTGATGTGCCAAAGTGCAGAGCATTATCCGTGATGATCCATTGTGGGTATCTTGATTAAATGATGCACGACCAGCTCTATCCACATGACGCTGACGCTATGATTCCCCATTCATCATACTGTTTTTTAACATTGCAAGAAGTGTAAGTAAATTGCAGCATAGTTGGAAACATATTTGCACCTACACACCTACACATTTCCTCCTCCATGAAGTCAGCCTGAGCCCAGAGTCCCTTACAGTGTAATGATCATCTTCTCATATTAATCCTAGTTTTTCGACCACTAATTGTCCCAATAGAGATAAATTGTCTCCCAGAGATTTGAAACCTGTTATTCTTGGCCTTGGTCCTACAGCATACATACTCCAACAGTGTTCAAGAAGTCTGTTTGGTCTCTTTGAAGAAAAGAAAGCAGAGCCAGCCTTATTGATGGTGGCAGGGCTGTGTGAGGTGCACATTCCCAACATTGCCAGGGTGCCAAGGAGGGTCTGTGTATAAAAAGCGCCTTAATACCATAATTACTCTATGCATCTAAGAGTTTTCAGTCTTGTGTGGAAGCACACGGGCAGATGAAAAGAAAACCAAGGGTAATTTAGCACCATTGTTACTTTTCACATAAATCATTTCAGTCTGGAAAACATTTCTTTGAATGAAAGTCTCATATTTTATCATGTAGAAGAGCTGATGGCACTCTTACATTGTTGTTATCTTGAGGGGATCATGCCTTTGGTCATGTGTGTGTGCATGTGTGTGTATCCTTCTGTCAGCAGCTAATCTTGCAAACTACTGTACCATTCCACGTAATAATGTGTGTGCACATTTATGAATGTATCTTCAAGAACCTCTCTTGGTTGCGGTGATTCACAATAGTTGGTAAACTTGTTTTATTGACTGTTTTATATCATCATGAACTGCTGATGCCGCACTTCTTGCAACTGGCCAGCAGGGGGTGCAAGGTTGCCAGAAATCAGCTCAGCTAAAAACAATAAGCCTTACCATGTGTTGCAGGCCACATTATGTCCTTCATTGTAGCTCAAAAACTGACATCCATGGAGAAGTTTGTTCTCATTTCGAACTTGAGCATCTGCAGATTAAATCCAGTAATGAATGATATGGTATCTATATTACAAATACAAAAATGAATGGAAGACTGTCTGAAAAATTAATTCTGTCCTCTGTTTTTTGTTTCAGATGACAGGAAACAAGATGACACCACTCAATTTAGCGACCATCTTTGGACCCAACCTCTTGCACAAACAAAAAAACTCAGACAAAGAGTTTGCAGTTCAGAGTTTTGCCCGTGCAGAGGAAAGCTCAGCCATCATCAGCGTGGTCCAACGGCTGATCACTTCATATGAAACGCTATTTATGGTAAGCCATCCTTAACTGTAAACTGAAAGGCATTTAAACAGTTGAAGCCAGCCCTGGGCTTAATCAAACAATCTCAAGGTCTCAGTAAGGTCTCCTTTTGGGGGCGATTCTTCAGCTTAGTAGAGAGGAGCCACCTAATGAAATGTAAACATTAGCTTTACAGGCTCTGAGAAAGACTGAACTTTTACAGGCACCTATAAAACAAAGTAGTGTCACAGTAAAACACAAATGCATGCAATTAGGTTTTTTTTCCCTCCTGAACCTTGTGGAGAATACTCTTTTTAGTGCGTGGCAAATGAGAAGCCTCGCTGGAGGGGTTAATAAGTGTCATTTCAGCTTCTGTTTGGTTTATAGACAGCGATTGGGAGCGAGGGCAAAATGCTCATCTGTATAATGTTCCCTGCTTTTCACCAGATACTCAAGCGCAGATGCACTTAATTGGAGGATTTGAAAATGATCTGTTAAGAAAGCCAGAGGGCAAAAAAAAAAGCCCATTAGACATTTGCTCTGCGTCATTAGTTCTGCTTTTCTCAACTGCCGTTAATTATTTTTGCCTCATACCATACAAACAACATGTTGTCTCTGTAGCTCTTTGCATTACAGACACTGTGTAAATACAGGCAACGTAAAAAATATTGGTGTAAAAGAGCAATTCACTGAATGGGGTATGGAGCAGTGTGCACAGTGATGTCATTGTTTGGTTATTTCAAGTGTGATTAATCGTTAAGGCAGAGTGAAATTAATGTAACAAATGCATAGTGTTATCCAACTGTTATGAGCTTCATTACAACCGTGTTTTGATTCTCGCAGGTCCCTGCAGACCTGCAGAATGAGGTGCTGATGAGCGTGCAAGAAACTGATCCTGATGTTGTGGATTACTTGCTGCGGAGGAAGGCCTCTCAGTCCTCGTAAGCTTCCCCCTTTTGTCCCATTGTTTGCGTGCGTGCTGTCCCTCAGGCCAAGCCTCCGAAGGGTCACAATGAAGAATACGTTTTCGTAGTATTTATATGCATTATCGTGTGTTCTTTGTTTCTGCAGCGAGCCAGACCTTCTCAGAGGAGGAGAGTCCTTCCCCCTGACCGACAGATGCTTATCCAATGACTCCATCAAAGTATCTAGCGGAGAGGTGTCTCCCTATGACAATAACTCCCCTGTCCTGTCAGAGCGACTACTGTGTAAATATCCAGAGGATGGCAGCCCGCCCTCAGACGGGATCACCAGACTGTCTGGGTCGTACAAACGCAGCAGCCATTCTAAAGACGGGTCTGGCAGCACCTCTCCCACACTTTCTACAGATAAAGGTGAACTAAATGCATCATTGCAACATATACTTTAGTATTATAATTAATATAATTCAAAAAGATTTTTCGACAATTTGTAAAATATTTGCTTTATTGCTGATGTTTAGATGAGAGGATTGATACCACTCACACATCTGTATGTTAAGTAAAGTTAGCTTAGCATAGCATAAAATCAAAAGTCACAAAAAAAAACGTTTATAATACATATGTATTATAAACATTTGCATATATGTACATATACATTATAATTGTTTGCATATTTTATTAACTTTGTCTACACAGACAGGCCAGCTGTTTTCCCCTCTAGCTAAGCTAAGCTAAGCTAAGCTAAGATAAGCTAAGCTAACTGGCTGCTTCATATTTACCATACAGACATGAGAGTGGTACCAGTCTCATCTAAATCTTGGCTTGAACTTTATCAAGAAAATTTCCAAAAATGTTTAACTATTTCTTGAAATTGTGTCAGTTGTGGTCTTAAAGGGACAGTGCACCCCAAAATCAAAATACATATTTTTCTTATTTTCTTATTTGTAGTCCTATTTGTTACTCTAGATTGTTTTGGTGTGAGTTGGCGAGTGTTGGTGATACCAGCCATAGAGATGTCTGCCTTCTCTCAAATATAACAAAACATTAATAGCATCCTCATGGGCTGAGCTGTAACGTCAGTTAGGAAAGTGGTACAAGGTGAGCTAGCAGAAGATGCTCGCTTCCTTGGTGCGTTGACAGGTGTAGCTCAGTAGATAGAAAATAGTTCCTACATGGAACTGCTTACAACAATATCTCTGGGTCATCTTGAATAACCAGGCCATGGTTTCTGGAAAGAAACATTGCTGTTAAGTTTTTCAAGTTTAATTCAGAGAATTTTCAGAGAAGGCAGACATGTCTGCGGGCGATATCGCTAACTCACACCAAAACAATCTAGACTGATGAACAGCTCTACAAGTAAGAGGGAAAGTATAACTGTCCCTTCAAAGACACTAAAATATCACAAGTGCAGTGTCTCTTGTTCTTGGTATAATGTGATTTTAAAAAAGATAAAAGACCCATTATTTGTCAAAACTTGAAAATCAGTAGCTCCCATGAGGCTCTAACAGTGCCTCTGTGGTTGAGACTTATAAGATATGATCATGATGGGTCCTAACATAACAGTGCCAAATCTAAGTCTTTAAAAATCTTTTTTATCTTTGTTAAAATGGCATGGTGCCCACATTTTACAAGTGCTAACAGTGATAGATAGTCATTCATCTTAGACTATGGTTGAAAAAAGTACAATTTAACATCATGTTATAGACTTTGAAAACAGACGAGAGAGACCTGACTGCATTAAGTCAAGAGTAGGGGAAGAGAAGCTTCCTTTAAAATGATTTTATATTGATATATTGCTTGATTAAACCAAAGTAAGTAATCCTCTTGGTGCTTCTGTTCCTGTTAGAGGCCTCCGCTGATCATTTCTGGGACACCTGGCATGAACTGTTCAACAAGGAGTTCACTGGCCACCGTATCACTGGTAATAAAACCCCCTGTACATGTTGCTGCAGATGGCCTTGAGATATGTAATGAATGCTCGATGCTAATTAGTAGTTTCTCCCAGGCTCCCTCGGAGACGTGTCGGAATGTGAGTCATATGGATCGTCGGAGGGGCTGAGCAGTCACCAAGGTAACAACAAGCTGCCCATCAGACCAACACAAACCTCATTGGGTGTGCTGGGATTCAAGCCACACCTCCCGGTGACTCGCAGCAGCAGTGGTCCTAATGACCAGAGAGGACAGAGACAGCCTCAATCATCATTACATCAGGGACTCGGCAGCCAATCAGGTGCACTTAGCTCGGACAACTTAGCAGAAAGGACAGGACACCCTGCGTGTCCGTTACTAAAGGTCAGGACAGACAATTTGTCTCCCCTTCACTACTCTGGACAGCTGAGGGAGACCCATATTTCTTACTCCACGCCCTCCCTCTTTACGTATCAGCCTGACCCCCAAACCCCACAGCAGCCCCAGCAAAGCCCCGCCCCCCAGACTGTAGATACAGCAGATGCCTCCGGGCCTGGACAAAAAAAGGACCCTGGTACACCAAACTGGCAGACGGAGAGGTGGCATATATGGAATATACTGTCAAAAGAAAATGCAGACGCACTGCCTGAAACCCTGGTGTGATGCACCCTTTCACTTTGTTGAACTGAAGACAACTTTAAGAGAAAGGGGACGTTCTCCTGTCGCATCACCAGTCACTGAAATGCTACTGTCTGTATATGCAGTAATGTGTCCCACTGATAGACTGATGGAACGTTACACCATTATCTTGAACGTGCTGTTATTTTGCAGACGTGTCTAATTGTATAGATACTAGTTTTGTTGCATATATATATATACATATATATATATATATAATGTATTATAAAATATAATTTTGTACATTCTGTTTTTAATGTGTTGTAGTCATTCCCACATGAAGATTATTTGCAACACAACCATGAAAAGCTATTGTAGTATTTAGACTTGAATGGCATAATTAGACTTGAATGATATCTGCTTATTTTGAAGCCATGGATGTATTTTCGCCTTTAATTGATAGGACAGACAAGGAGTGGACTGGAGTCGAACCCGGCCGCTGCTGCAACAGCCTTGTACATGGGGCGCCTGCTCTACCACTAAGCCACCGACGCCCCAGAAGCCATGGATGTTTTCAGTGTTGAATGTAAAATGTGTGTTGTAATATTGTTTTAGTACCTTGATATCTACTGTAGCTGCAGCAACACTTTGTTTTGTTACAGGCTCCATTTATAATATACTAATTAATGCAGACGATGTCCATATTCGCACTCATGTATGTCTGCAGTGTCACCCATTACACACACATCAATCTTTGCACCTTCAGGTGGGCATTGTGTAAATGACTTTAAGTGCATTTAGATTCATTTCTACACTACTTGTTGCCATTACTTGTAGTTTTAGCAGCATTGTGTAATGATATCTATACTCTTTTGAAGTGGCCATAGCTTACAAATTTAAAATATATTACCACCAATGTAGAAAATGAATGTAAAAGTCATAGGGGTGCATATTGTACTCCTGTAAGGAGTCATGCTTTCTGGTGCTACGTCTAACTTGACCCTTTCCCTTAGGAGTTCAGTTAGGAATCAGCATGGAGTTAAAATTTAATGGTTAATTAATTATTATTAAATTAATTATTTAATTATACTTATAACTTACTTGTAGTTAATTACAAGTACGTATAAACCAGTGATTCTGTGCTTACAGCATACAGGCCAAATCTAGCCCATGATACGGTGCCAGATAGCCCACCGACCATTATCTAATTCACAATGAAAATAAATTGATTTATAATGTTTTGATTGTTTGATTTGGGTTTTTTTTTTTTGTGCTTTGGAATACACATAAGGTGCCCGAGAACATCAGAACGGCAAACAAGAAGTGTTAGGGGAGGATCCCATGGACCCCTGAACCCCCTGACAGAGTTCCAGATTAATTATTTATATGTTAATTATTAATGTTTGTTTACTAACTGGTCCCTGGACTTCTGTCATTTTGCAAAAGCAGCCCCCGAGTAAAGCAAATGTCCCTGATTTGACCTGTAATCCAGAAGACAATGAAACAGTTACCCAAACTGGCCACAAGAGGGAAGCATAAGACCAGGGAATGTTTTCCTATCTCCTCTTTGAGCTGTAATCCTTGAGCACTGTGGCTACACAGTGGGTTCTAATGACTCATTACGCATTGAGCAGCTATTATCTAAGTTTCGTTCCTATTAGACACCTTTCCCCACCATGATAGGGATGCCGGTGATTATGTGTTGTGGATGATGGCTTTTTATATGTTCGTAAAGATCTAATTTTACACTCTTATCTTGTATCGCTATCCTGGAAGAGTGCATTTTCTCTTATCAGCTGCAATCTTGCTTTATGCGAATGAAAATAAGAGATCTGAGCTGAGACAATAACAGTTACATTTACCACTAAATAAACTTTCAAAGTACTGGAATTGCAAGGAGTAAGTATGTCATTATGTGGAAAATGGCTGCCGTTGAAGTCTGGTACAGATTACAGATAGTATATAAAACTCTGGGAACGCATATTTGAGGGTACAGTGGTATATTTAGTTGGCTTAAAGTGATGGAAACTATTGAGATTACTGAAATTGTGTAATTTATGTTATAAATTTGTGTTTTAAAGTGAGTAATCTCATTGTGTTGTGACAATAAACGTCCTCGCCCTGATAATAAACTCTTCCCGCGTTAAGCAAAGCCTGGGAATTTCCTCAACACCAAGATTTGTGGTTAAACTTTCTAGGCCATATCTGTCTCCACAGCTGTGTGAGCCAAGCTGCATTTGGCCACCGCACAATCCCATTCTGACGAGACCAAAGAGACAGAACAGGATGTCTGGATGTGTTTTACACAGAATCACAACCGTTTGCCTACACTTTTGCATCTGCACCACAAATGTAGCCTTAACACTATTCCATTCAATGTCCTAACCACTAACAGGCCATGCACGGGGAAAAAAAACAGCCCGGAGATGCTTTTTCTCTTTCGTCTTCTTCATTTGTGACCTGCCTCCCCAAAGCAAACAATCCAGATCAAATATTTAATTTCACATCTTATCTTTGCAGCACTGATGGATGTAAGTTGATCCTCTGGCAGAGAGCTGCAACTGCTCCCAACAGGGGGTCCATCCTGTCTGAGTCCGTTCACTGGCATCAGGAGCAGCTGCGGGGAGGACAGAGGAAGGTCACAACCAAAACGAGGCTGAATGTCCAGAAACAAGAGAGCCCTGCCCCTGGTGTTTCAAGGTTGAGATGGATACACAAATCTCCACAAAGGAAAAATATAGAGCTCAGTGGAGCTTATTAAGGTGTTGGTTATGGCTCAAAACACGGTGAAGTCAAACAAAGCCTCGGTTAGGACTATCTTTATTTTTCAAGACTATTTGAATAAGAATTTCACTTCTGGAAAGAAAGTCTTTCCATAAAGCTCTTTTGAAATTGGTGCTTACATGACCAGAGAAAACAAAAGAAAGGGGTTGTGGCATTTTCTTTTGCTCAGGAGGAAGAAAACCTACAACTACCAGAATGCATTGCACGGTGTAATGTGATGTGATCTAATTTGAGCTTGGCTGTTTTTCTACAAGAAACAATATGGCAGCTGGCTGGTGATAAACAATCTCAAATTTTAGCAAAACTGTAAGCTAAAATATGTTTCTGAAAACATATAAGGTCAGAAACAAGCAATGCAGTAACAGAGTCTTGCTTCATATTTCATCAGCACTGCTTAGTTTTATCAGTTTGATCTCAGTTTTTTCAGCCTTCATTTTTACAATACAGGAAGCAGTATGGCATCCACTTCCTGTTCACAAACTCTTGCATTGCAAATAAACAGTGCACTAAAATGTTAAGCAACAAATGGGCAATGCAGTAACAAATCAGCACTGCCTAGTTTTACACTTTGATCAAAGTTTGGTCTGAGTTTAAGAGACACATAGACAGGGGTTGGGATCTTGATCTGCTATTCAGTGGATGTCCTTAAACAGATACAGCTTCGGAGGCAGGACCCCGTTGATTCCTATAAAAGTTGCTCAGTGGTGCATGAAGCCAAAAAAGCTCTATTTCCGCTGAATGAAAACACCCAGATGATCTGCGCTATTTTTTTGCATCATTAGACCCACAGAGTAGCGCTACTTTTTCTAGCCCAGCTGGCAACTTACAATTTAGTGCTCCACTATCTTGAATGGTGAAAAAATAATTCAGTCTTGCAGCTCTTCTAGACTTCCCAAATGTTACAGGACTGAGTGGATTCAGAAGGAGTCATTTGATGGGGGTTGTGACACTCAGAAAGTTGTATCTACTGATTCACAGATGTCTCTTTCTCACTGTAAGTCTATGGGGAAAGGTTTTTCTGGGCCCAGTGGCATCGCATGACAGACTCGGGAGTTGTAATACTACTGTTTGGTGACTACAAAAATTGGCTTCAAAGCCTGTAACACTTCTGGGGGCCTGGTGGAGATGTGCTGACCATCTTTATATACAGTTTAGGTGGTGGCGGGCACATAAAAATCTGGAAGTAAGATCTCTAGTTCAAGCAAAAGCCCTAGAGCCAGCAAGAGAGAGATGAGCAGAGAGGTCTGGGCGCTGGTAAGATGGAGGGAAGTTCACCGAAGTTTATTTACACATACTACTTGCCTTGTTATGATACAAAGCTGGTAGTATTCTTTTAATGCTGCTTTGTACTGAATGCTTTTCAGTAATTTGCTTTTAACTGAACTTTATAACACAATGAAGGAGTGCGCCTTTTAATCAAACACAATTCTTACCATCAATCACTGCTGCATCAAATTTAAGTTAATGTGCTGCATTTACATTTTAAAATGTTGAAACAAGACGCTATTCTGTGCTGATTTATGATTCCACTTGTCCCCCATTGTGTCTGAAAATGTACTACTGAAGCCTTTAGTAGTGAAGGACAGCATAGGGCAACGACAGTATGTGACAGTAATGAGTCAACACAATGCCCATCATGCCACTAATGGAAAAAATGTGCAACACAATAGTCAGCAGACTGTTAATGAATGCAAGAGTGACACAGGACCAAAATGTCAATAACCGTGGCTTATAGGAGTCATGGTCATGACTGGGTAATGAAGTTTATTTCAAGAAAAAAGTAATGTTCAAGATTAAAGGATTAGTGGTGATTGCATTAAGCCTCTCGGCTTAGTCCAGTTCAACACTTTATGAACAAAATGGGAAGTTTTAGATACCGAGTGTTTCGCTGATAAGACAAGTTTAAGCAAGTTGGTGCAATTTTTGACTGGATTTGCATTCCGAGCAACACTTCCTCTCTCGTCTTCAGAGGGGGGCGTTTGAAGTAGCGCTTTCTAGTTAGATTTCTTTAATTTTTAATTTAATTTCAAGGCTTTCCGAATCGATTTATTTATATCTGTTTGCAGATTACCAGGCCAGTATACTGAGAAACATTTGCTCCTTTCGCTTGTTTTCTATCTCAGTGAAGCAACACCAGAGCTGCCCCGAAAGCTCATTTCATTTACCCCATCTGCTCTGCCTCATGCTCCAATTGGGATAAATTTGATAAATATTTCTCATTTTGGGACAAGGCGCACATTGTACCCCAAAACACATTAAACATGTTGAACTCGTTCATTTTGATGTTTGTCTGCAGTGTACACGTAAGCTATGAGACACAGAACGTTAGTGGGTGCACATGTGGTTGTGCTGTCCTAAATACACCGTGGCTTTCGGTGCGATTATTGCCAGAAATGTTTTCCCCCCTCTCTCCTTGAGTCCACACAATACAGCGCAGCAATTCAGTTGGGATGCAGGGTGTGTATCGGAGGGGGACAGGGGATCAAGTTGGTTCAACTTTAATGTGTCAGTTCTTTGGCAGGCCGGGCTGTGAATGATTCGCTGTTTAACTTGTGTTAGCAGCACACTTCAGGGCCGTCAGCCACCAGAAGGGAGTTTTCAACAGGCACTTTGGTTCAGCCTTCAAACTTGCGCAACAGAGAATTATGTGGCTGAAAAAATGACTCCCAACACCAGGAATTAAAGAATCCAGATGTTTTCCTCCAAAGCTCGCTGATATCAAGCCTGTTTTATGGGACAGCTATGAACACATACTGATTCTATCTGATATCATCATTATCTTTTTTATCTAGCAGTCACTTAGCATATTAGATATCTGTGAAGTATGTGTTATCTGTTGTGTTTGGATTACAGTGTCAAGTTTAAGTGTGCCCATCTTGCAGCTGATAAGACAAAGCACCATCACGTGAAATGAGTTTCATATTACAGGACATATCAGACAAAAGGGTGGAGGCAAATAACATAAATATAAATGCCTGTGCTGCTCTCTGTTCTGTTTATATGTTTTCTAGCAAAATACAAGCGATCGTTAACAGAAAATATTCAAGTTCTTGGAGGGAAACTCGGCTTGCTGTAGGCTACACGTGTTAAAATTCCATGTAATTCCCCTATGTGCTCTGGTTGTGAGAGAAGCTGCTGCTCAGAAGACACGTAGCATTAAATCAAGCCTCAGACATATAATCATGTTTTTTGTGCTTCAAAGAAAGTGCCAGCAGTTAATAATTAAGCAGAGAATCGACCTGGGTAATTATCCCGGAGCAACTTCAAAAATGAAACAGTTTTAAGACTTAAGATGCAAACACACAAACACTTTGGCAATATGGCTGCGTTCCCGTGAGAGTAGAAAAGACTTTAATCAGCACCTGTAAGATTTCACACTATTGTCCTGATGGAGACAGCGAGCAGCAGTGGAGGATCTCTCTCTAAACCTTTTACCCACCGTGTCCTCCAGTTTTCT